ACAGCTATTTAGCCAAGATCAGCGCCGGCCTCTATACTTTTTATAGCGGCGCAAATGCAATTTAAACAATAGATAATGAGATGATAAATCTAATTAAGATTCACTATCATCTCATTACCTATTGTTTGAATTGCATTCAACGCGACCAAAATGCGATGTATAACCTGGGCCTTAGTGCTCTCAAAGTTCAAACAATAAATTATTACAACAACGTCTATTTTGGGGGAAACGTAGGAGCTTTTAGCGCTGGACCATTCAAAATCTAACAATAGACGAATGCAATTGCGTCCGGTTTTTAGGGACCATGCGTAAGTAGCTTTATAATATATTTATTTCAATATATTCGTCACATGTGAAGTGTATACAGCACATGAACATGTGTATTATAGAAGGAGAAAACGCTTCTGAAGGCCAATTCGGAAGGCGAACTTAGAGGCACGAGTTTTCACAATGGGATAAATCTTGTTGGGAGTAAGAGACTTCGGCTAGATTCTCAACTTTTGGTGCATACAACTTTTGTATCCGGGAACAAGTTATTCGACGACAATAAATGTGAACTTTTAAAAGGGAACACACGACACGAACTTCGCGGTCGCTCGTAAAATTCATTGCCACACTTTGAGAAGATCGGTAAACGAATCCCTAGTCAAGTAAGCTAATATTCTCTGATATTCTTTGTGTTGGTACTGTTTTGTGCTTCTAGATTGTCTGTCCATTGTCTTTAAGCCTCGCGCTATTCTAGACATGAAGTCTTCAAAAATACTCGTTCATGAATGTTTAACCGTTGGTAATATCGCACTCAAAACCATGCTATTACCTATACTTAGGGCTGTTTCTTTATACAATAAAAACGGCCAGACAGGTCCTGTCGTATCCCAGTATATCGTTATTTACATCTTGCCGCTAAATCTAGTAAAAATACTGTAATCCAATTCAAAATACACTGACTGCTGCGACCATTTTGGAAGCACTATTAGCCTTGTTTCACGTTTGAAATGGGCCTTAATGTGTTTAAGTCGCCACCAAGAAAATTGGACGCGTATAAACGAGGCGTCAGACATGATTTATAACAGTCACATTAAAAAAAACACTCGATCGTCGAGTATATGGGTATACTAGGTATATAGTTTGAAATAAATAGTTTTATGCACCTACAGCTTCTAGCTTGCAATAATGTGGTACATTTAAGAAATAACAAACATTTTCCGTGTCTCTATACAGTTATAGAAACACGCCTGTGACTTTGGGGGAACGAAAAATAATCGGGGAAATATTCCGTAACAATTGAAATACGCGAACCAACGTATTAATTTGGGGAATCTTTCTATGTTCAGTATAAATTCTGAATACACGAATTTAATCCTTGCGATTAACTTACTATAGGATTAGATTTAGGATTAGAGATTTAGAGTTGACCCTAGTCAAATATAAACCTTATCTAAGATCTTTAATTCTAATCCTAACCTAATATTAAGATTGAGTTCGTATTTTTACAGTGAACTCTAACAACTGGAAGGATGACGCCAATGTCGAAGTGATTCAAGTCAAATGTTTGGATCAGGCGATTTGAATGCTGATTAAGGCGGGAACCGCGCCTAAAAAAATACCTTCAAAAGGACCGGGGAGAGTGACAAGGTAAAATAGATATTTTCCAATATCATAATTTTCCAAGCTTGAGATTTATGATACAAAATAGTTGGTAGTGCTTTATTTCATATCGTAACGGCAGAAGAGCGCGCCGAAATGTTAAACTGCTCTTAAAGCTATTTTCTCTCTCGAAAATGTTTTTTGCAAAAGACGGCTTCAATCTGGCTTTAAAATGGCGGAGGAGTTATTGTTCGCATCATGTAGTGAAAAGCACTATCACCTAATGCATGCTGCCGTGGCACAACAGCGTAGAAATTATTCACGATCGCCCGCTGTCTAAGACGAACATAAAATGAATTACACACGTATGCAAAATCACAATTTATCTCCACAACTCAAAACTAGCCAACAATTGTGAGAGTCGTTCTAAATCTACACGGCTAAATGAACTCGTAATTGTCCGTAATTCCACCAGGTATACTTTTATGAAGTAACAGGTTGGTTATCCGCTGCGAAAGACTAAAATAGAAAAATAGGAGTTAATAGAAAGCTTATTCGAGTATTGTCCGGCGGGACTTCTTCTCAGTCCCCTTACCTTTTTATAGAGGCATATATTTCTACAGTCACTTTCACAAGGGTAGGGAATATTGCGACACCGAGTGCAGAATTAGGATTTATTGTCACAGACTCTGTGCGGGACTCGTCTGTTCTTCCACACATAACGAGGCCCATATCCAAGATGTCTTAACGAAGTGGTATTTGTATTTGATGTAACGATACACCATACGACATATCCTCTCTGTACCACATCTAACTTCTCTGCATTCTCGTCGTTGGCACAATCGTCTTTGTAGCTGGCAAACACTTCGGCATCCACATTCCTTGCACAACAGTTTCCCTTTCTTGTATTTGCGGCATTTCCAACCTTTTCCACAAAATACGCAGTCTGCGGCAGTCATGTCAATGGGTAAACGTCATTGGTTCATACCTAACCTTTTCCAAAATCTCAAGACTTGATTTTACACGAAACAACATTATTCTAACAGCAACGTGCAATGAAAACTAGGTTATGTGAAATTTGACTGGTTTTAAACTTCACTCACATTGTCATTGCAAATTGTGTCAGGGGCGACGCTAGACGCCCAGTTTGGAAAAATTGAGGATGAATTTCGCATTTTACAGGCAAGCTATTCCACTATCAAAGCTCCGCTGTAGCATAATGTACATAATAATTCGTTCGTGATTGAGAAATTCACCGAATGTAAATTGCCATCCTGACGAGTCACGACAATTACGTGATTAAAAGAAAACCAGGCTACAATGGTCTCAATTTTGGTCGCATTAGCAAAATGTTTAAAATTAGCAGGCTTATCGAGGCTATGGCTATGTTTATTTTCGCCTGGATGAGAAAAGTCAATTTACGCAAAAAATAGTTTATATAAGTCAATAAGTAGACTATAGTTCTTTTAATGTTTTATTTATTAACGTTCTTTTACGTTGTTCTTATGCCCGCGTTACTCAGCGGTTGTATCTTCTTAACGTCATGTAAAAGGGATCAAAACAATATTACTAACCTGGCATCTCTGGTTCGTCTTCAGCCACATTTGTAGTTTCTTCTTAAAAAAAGTTAACTGTCATTATCATTGTCTCAATTATCGTATTCCTATTTTAATCCTTTGAAAGAACAGTAAAAATTAAAATAAAATTGACGCTCTAAGATTACAGCTTTGGTAATTAACCAATCGGTAACGGCTAGGATTACAGCTTTGATAATCGAGTCCACAGCAAAAGGTATTTAATCCATCGCTATTATTGCCTCTTTTGGTCTAATCATGGGAGTAACTACCACAGTCACAGAGAAATTACTCTCACAACCCAGTGGACAGTATACTCTTTGTAATAATGTGTGATAATGTCTTCGGGGTTCAAGCGTCTATTGCTCATAACAACAAGTATATATGCTAAGTCAAACTGGCCTTAGAGGTTGATGCTGTTTTTATTTGCAATCAAAGGTTATAATACTTTCATTTTCTTTGGTCTCCTCATCTTCGCTATCTTCGTTGTTTTCCGTGTCCTCTCCGACAGCTTCCGTGTCTTCTTCGTCACCAACCGCATTCGCTATCTCGGGCTGGTCTTCCGACTTGGGAGCATTATCAACAACGGAAGTTTCTTCCTCAGCTCGAGCTGGTGCAGATGAATATGAAAAAAATCGTTCATGCGCAATGGCTTACACGACTGCAGGTGCACGCGTTAGGGTTCACATTCCGCTAATAAAATGGTTGTTAAAACATAGCGACTAAAAAGCCATGCAGTGGTAAACGAAAATACTGGAAAAGTAGAAAATATTAGATAAAAGTCTGCCAGGACTGTGTTTTAGCAAAAAACTTTAATGCTTGCAGACTGACATTATGTGTCAATAAATCGCAATAAATCGGTACAAATATTTTGCGATGTTATCATACATGTATATGATATACAAATATTCATGAGATGTTCGTACGATTAGGAATTAATAGTACTCGATTAATAATTTTTGCCATATTAGCCTCACCCGGCAGCCCCGACAATTTTAACATAATTTTAAAACATTCAATCGTGCTTTCACTGGCAAATTGCACTCGCTATTGCATAATCACCCGCACTAACTTCACCCTTGTGTTTAATCGCAAAATAAAAGCGCAGGAAACATCACATACAGGATAATTGCATGTGACCTCAGAGCGGTCTTGTTTGTGCACACGTTAAAGCTCCGGTATTTATCCCACCGCAAAATTTGTGGATGTCAGCTTCCTGTTCGCATCTGTTTGGAACGCTTATGATGTACATAGGGGGGGGGGGAATGATTCGGATCATCGGTCATCTTCATCCGCACATAAACTTTCGGATCAATTTAAGGCTTTAAGAAACGTGATTATACAAGTTGCTTATTAGGCCGTAGGATGAGCATCCAAAAGATGCAATTCCGTTGCACCCCTCGTGGAACTACATAATTTTCACATGAATCAATAGATAAAAACTTACTTTATCAGAATCCGTCGCTCCCCAAGTGAAACAGGTGCACAATTGGGAAAAAAATCCCTCCAAAGTTTGCTATATTCGCGCTTCGAAATATTCGAACCGCCATTGTTTTAGTAGCAAATACGCATGCGCATGTCAGCCAAACTCGCACTGCGCACGCGCAGACAGGAAAAATGGATTTTCCCTGTGGGTTTTCCCCGATTTCCCGTGTAAAAATAACAAAATAAAATCACGGAATAAAGATCAAACCTTGTAATATTAACGAATAAATACACACACATTAAATATTGTTAAAACACATTGTACATTTTGCTTGCTCATATGCTAAATCACTTCAATTCATTGGCTATTGTTTCAAAATACCGTTTTAACGTATAATTCTACTTATTAACAACTTAATTCAATAAAAAATGTGAGGTAAAAAACCCACCTGTATCAAACAGGATGGAGAATATATAAATATACATACAACTCACACAATCAAGAAACAAGTTAAATATTTCGCTTAAATATAGCCTTGGAATGCTATCCCGTTTCTGTAACTCAGTACTTGCACTTTGTTCCCTTTGAATGATAATGCCCCCAGTGATGTGAGTTGTCCCTTTGCCAGATCTAGTTTCTTCTGAGAAATCATCATTATCCCATGCAAGAGTAGTTGGAACATCACTAACAAAGCCTGGAGGAATAGCAGAATCATTGGATATATTCATCTGTGCAAGGGCAGTTTCATGGCACAATACAAATGAGTGTGACATGCAATGTCCAAAGCCACTCAATAGAAAAATCACTGAGGCTGAACCTGTCAGTTGTCTAAGTGCCATGGCAAGTGCTATGCTCTTGGGTGTAGGATTCCTTCCCCCAGATGCTAAATTCAGAAGGTCTTGTACAATTAATGTTAGTTTGGCATTGTTCTTGCCCTCAATTGGCACGTACTCACTTAAAGTTGGCTCTGAAGAGAATCCACAAGTCCAAGCCGAGACATTAAAAAGTTCACATGGAACCACTTTTTGCACATTATCCATTGTCAAATCAAATGCCAATGGTGGCCAACGAAGATTCAGTTTTGGTATATCTTGGACCTTTTGGCGAAGAATCAATGCAGCATTGTATAGAATTTGTAACTCATTGACTCTCGAATTTTCCTCAGTTTCTGTGTTGGAATTCAGATCATCATCATCAATGGTACCGGTATAGCTCTCTTCATCAAAGTCTTCATCGTTGTTTCCTGACTTGTTTGACATATGTTCCTCAACCAATTCGGAAGAATCCAAATTTCCACATATACAATCTCACTAACATTTCTCATTTTCGGTACTTAGAACACAAGTTGGGGATAACTTTTCATCAGTTGTTGCTTGAGTTTAAAAGCTCTATATTTAGATGCATCCACATTCTCGGTGTCCTTAGCAATGATAACAAATTTCTCCAGCAAATCTTTCATATACCTTATTTGCTTATTTGCAATGACCTCAGTCTCGATTACTTTCTTACAGAAGACATCATAAGACTTCTCGTACACTGATGTAGATCTTTCAATCTCCAATTGCTTCTTTGTCTCTCTGGTGAGAAATTTTGTATAATTGCAGTAGCAAACTTTGTGATAGGGGACTTCCAGTGCTACACAGTCTTTCCCCCGGATTTGCACAAGTATCCGTTCATCATTCTTTCTCTCGGCAGCTGTACGTAGAAGACCAGCATCAATTATTTCTGCCAACATGAGTGGGGTTCTTTTTCTCTTCTTAGTTACCTGGTGTGAACAAAACTATTAAACTAAATATCTGCTAATAACACAGTTGGATGTTTGTAGCATTAAAAACTATTTTACCCTAAATAAACTTAATTGACCACAATTCAAGATATTTTAAAACCAAACTCGAGAATGCTGTGCTACTAGTACACATTGCACTATTGCACTAGTATAATTATATCTATCAAAATGACCATACCTTGTCTAGTGAGGACCAAGAGGCGTCTCTTCCACAAACAATACATATCTCTGGACTCGTTTCTTTTAGGCAAGGTCTTATTAACGCCTGCGACTGATTGGCGTGTAATTTTTCGTCTTGGTTCTATTGGTTCCACTTCCACATGTAGTTCTTCGGTAGAAGTTACAGTTTTAGAGCTAGTTCCTTCTCCTTTTTCTCTTTTCGCTGTTGTCTACGGATATTCTCTTCATCAGAAAATCTCTTCCAGCATTTCATACGATGGTACCATTCTAAGTTAATGCTGTCAGGGTTCTTCTCCTGTTCTCCATGTATGAATTGACAGATCCGTCATCGATGTTCTCGTACGATTTCTTAGCTATTTCAGCTTGTTGACATTTAAGTTTGGCCCATTTAGACCTACACTCAAGACATTTCTTAAGCCCTTGGCGTGTAACTTTGCAAAGTTGCTCCGTAACGCCAACAAAATGAATAAAACATGAGGATATTCGAGTTTTATAAATATTTTCAGCCATGATTGTTTTGCATAACTAAGCGTGTTTCCACTTCGAAGCATGTGCGTGCTTATGCGCGTGCGCAGTGCGAGTTTGGCTGACAAGCGCATGCGTATTTGCTACTAAAACAATGGCGGTTCCAATATTTCGAAGCGCGAATATATAAAACTTTGGAGGGATTGTTCTCCCAATTGTGCACCTGTTTCGCTTGGGGAACAACGGATTCTGATAAAGTAAATTTTTATCTATTGATTCATGTGAAAATTATGTAGTTCCACGAGGGGTGCAACGGAATCCGTTTTTTAAGCATCTTTTGGATGCTCATCCTACGGCCTATATTAGTTGAATTCCCGCATATTTAAGAAATAGAGGGTGATCATGGATCCCATATCAACCTTAATCCTATCAGAAGGTTCATCATTCCAGGCAATTGTGACTTGTTGATGTGAGTTCTGCTAGGACCAACTCAGTTCAGTGCAAATATATAAATTGTTTTATCGATCTTATTTTTAATATTCCTAATCTTTCAAAAAAAAAAGCATCAACAAAACTTACCAAAAACGCAGGCTGAAGCCAACAAAAAGAAACCAAATAACAAAAAAATTCTTCATCGCTTTTTTTTTGTTCTACTTTAAACCGTTTCTTGCTTTAGGTGGCAGGAGCAAGTGATGAGGTAATAAAATGCTCCTTCTTTTATACACTTTGCTTAAATGTTCATTATGCAGAGCTAATGACCTCGTCGCCATGGTTGGAATATTGCGTCAGCAATTATCTGTCTGGGGCCGGTTGTATCAAGCCATATCAAACCCGCTTAGCTTAAACGCTGGATAAGTTCAAAATAGAAAGCAAGTCTATCGTTTTATTCAACAACCGAACTAAAGGTTTTTAACCTTAATACAAAGATACTGTTTACAACTACATATTCTGTGCATAACATTCAAGTTGACTCATTCAAGAGAGATGTGAGAGTGTTATTTAATTTTGACTTATCCACCTTTTAAGCTAAACGGGCTTGATACAACCGGCCCCTGCAATTTAAAGCCAACATGTTGAGATTATGTATTACTCCAAGTTCATCTACTGACCACGATGAAGATTTGGGTACAATATTATTAATTCGGAGTACAATATTACGGCCCATTTACACTATGCGATAATGCGATTTGTCGTTTACGATTCTTACCCTGGCCGCGCAACCGGCTAAGAGGTCTATTGAAATTTGAACGACGGCGGAAATATTGCGTGAGTTAAGAAAAGCGTGCGAAACAAGAGCCGAAGGTAGCATTAACCAATCAGAAACCACGTTATATATACATGCTATTTTAAACAATTTACATGCGTCGTAAGTTATACCTTACATGATTCAAAACTTTACCAACGACACTAATCCCAATGTATTTGTAGCCGTATAATCTAAAATTTCGCGTGAGCAATATATTTCACCCATGCACGCAGTAACTTTATCGACTTTTCGGGCTTGTATCTTCGCGTGTGGAATGTCCTGTTTCAATTTGAATTAACAATACTAATTGATGCGATCACATCCTGTAATTACGCCCCCTTAAGCCCCGGGCTCTAAAATAATAGTTTTAAATTCATTAAGCCGATGTTAGATTACTAAGGAACGGTGATCGAATTAGACTTGCTACAATGCTTCTTATTTTAGACAAAAAGCTCGATATCAACAGTATGCAACGAGTGTTACGAATCTTTGGCAACCCGGGTCTTATAGAAAGTCTATTTTTCGCTACCAATGAGTATGATTTTTTGTTCAAAAAATACGGGCGTAAAATTTACAGGACCGCAGAAGATCGTAACAGCTCTATAGCAAATCCGTGCTCAAGTCAGGCATATAGACAGCCTCAAGCTTCGTTGACACTGCTTGAAACCACAGTGCTTATTATAAATAGCTATCAAGTAACCGGGAGTCGATGTCCTTTCAAGAGGCACTACAGTATATAAGGCCGATTGGAAAAGAAATTCATTTATGGCTGAAAATGATCACTTCGTGTTTGGGTGCATAATTTAAAAACGAATGCATAATTTAAAAGAAAGTTTATCATAAATTTAAAACGAACTTTTTCCATGTTTTGGCGCGGTTTTATTGACTCTCTTTAACAATAGAAGAAGATAATTGTACCTTTTAATAATGGAAAAAGATAATTACAGCTTTTGCACATCGATCGCACGCGTGATTGCGAATACGACTTCACCGTATTGTAGGCGATTCATTGTTGCAGTCCCTGACGAATAAAGTCACATGGCGGGCAAAATTTAGGTTTCTTTATATAAAAAATATTCTCGTCGTCAACCACAGACCTTGCACCAAAGTTTATCCCTGTATTCACGGCATTTCAAACCTTATCACAAAACACACAGTCATGTCAGAGCAAGTCATGTCTAAGGCTTATGCTTGTGTTTAAGTCGATGATTGTATTGCAGATTTTATGCATTGCGTTTCATTGTTTTTCCTTTTGTATGTCGCAAGTGAAACCCAGGCTTTTCAAAGATAATGACGTCAGGCGCAGAAACCAGACGCTACATGAAGTTTGATTGGCTTGTTAATTTTGACCCATTATGGGAAGGGTCAATTCTTTTAAATCTAACATTAAGATTTTACCTGTGTCCCATGCATGTGAAATGTATTATCAAGCATTTAATACAGCCGTACCTGCACAACGCTCTCGGGGTGAGAACAACATAAAAACAAACAAATTTTATGCAAAACCAAACTTTATTTCTACAAGCTAATACAAGCTGAAGATTTCGGGTACCTTTCTAAATCAATAATGCTATATAATGAAATCGTGATTGTCCTTAATCGTAATCGTAATCGTAATCTTAATCGTAATCGTAATTATAATTCGTTTATCCGCGATAAACCGGCGAACACTAAAAAAAAGAAAATACAATTTTTTTAAATAAAAGCTTTATAGGGTCATACAGTGGCGTAACCAGCATTGATAATTGGGGAGAGAGCGATATTCATATATTCGTGTTCTGAATTATCAATTTATTTTGAAATCTCCTGTCTTACTCACTTAACATGAATATATGAGTATTGCCCAGCCACCTCTCCCCCCCCCCAATTATGGATGCTAGCTACGCCACTGGAGCCATACAAAGGTTATTCAAGTATTTTCAGGTCGGCGAATTCACCTCAGTCGCCTTACCTTTCTGTAGCGGCATATGTTTTTACAGATCTTTCCACATTGGTAGCGAATGCTGTGGCATCGAGTACAGAACTTGGGTAATCTGACACAAACTCTGTGCGGGACTCGTTTGGTCTTCCACACGAAGCGAGGTCCATATCCACGATATATTGGGTAGAAGTATTTGTATTTTCTGGTTCTGTACACAGTGCGACATTGAATCTTTGTACCACATCTAACTCTTTTGCAAACTGGTCGCTTGCACCATCGCGGTCGGCATACACGTCGGCAGCCACACTCCCTGCACCACAGTTTTCGAATTCCTCCTTTCCTGTAGTTGCGGCATTTCCAACCTTAATACAAAAGGAACATGTCAGGTCGTATACGCGCCATCGGTTCATTCTTTACCTTTTCCAAAGTCGTGAAACTTGATGTTACACGGAACAACATTGACTGCGAATTGCAATAAAAATTAGGTTATGTGGAATTTAATAATGTTCTTGTATGTTTGCATGGTGATAAACGATAATTAATTTAGCTTGTAGGTACACGACGTAAGTATTTAATACTGCAAAGCTTTCGGACCTAGCTTCATCAGGAAAGTCCGGGTTAAGCGGCGGACCGAAAGCTTTGCAGTATTAAATACGTGGTGTACCTACAAGCTAAATTACTTATGTGGAATTTGTTTGGATTTGAACTTCATTCACGTTGCAAATTTTTGTTCACCAAGGAAGTTAGACGTCGACCAGTTTCGGAAGAATTGAAGGAAAAGCGAGAAATTCTTCGCCCCGTTATATTATTTGATACATAATAATTCGTTCGTTGTTGAGAATTTTTTCGAATGTCAATTTGTCTTTATAAATTTCCGAAACACAGGAACATTCTATTACATCGGCATGCATTCTGTCGTGTTCACGACAATTACGCGATGAAGTTAAAACCAGACCAGATCTTAACACGACTCTCAATTTTGGCTGGAATAAACAAAATGTAGAAAATTAGCAAGCTCATCACAGCTATAACTATGTCACTAACCTCGCTTCTCTGGTTCGTCATCAGCAACATCAGTAGTTTCGTCTGAAAAAAAATCAAGTCAACGATAACTATTGATGTCTCATTTTCTTTTTTTATATAATGAACAGTGAAAATTAAAATAAATTTGACGCACTCGCAGGGAAGAATGGGATTACGGTTTCGGTAATTGTGTTCACAACAACCTGATGACATAAGCCCCGTTTACACGGTACGAACTTAAACCGGTTTAAACATGAACGCGTTTAACTAGCACCATAGCTGCGTTTACTTGCGACTGACCACTTTAAGAAATTTTAATATAATTCGCGTTATTTAATCTACCTCGTACAGGTAGTGCAAAGTAATCCCGCTTAATTTACATCGATTCGAAAAATCAAATATCAAGTCAGACTGTGTAAACGAGGCTATATAATGAAAGTAATCACAACACAAAGAATACATTCGCAACCCAACGTTTCGACACTTTTCTAATCTCTTTATAGTCATCATACAGGGCTGGTTCGACCTCAAATC